AAAAAAAAGAGAGAGAGAGAGAGATGGAAACTAGGGCCAGGGATTTAGCTCAATGGTTCTACCACCCATCTCACAAGCACAAGGTTCTGAGTTCGATCCCTGGTACAAAAGAGAGAGAGAGAGAGAGAGAGAGGGAAACGACTGATGGATGTTCCTACCTAACACTTCAGATCCTCTCAAGGTTGTATCCCAAGTATGACAGAAGGATGGGAATAGTGACCGCCTAATATGATGAGGAGTAAGCACTCAGGACTGGAAAATCTCTCAGTTCTTCTCTCCTTCACTCCTCAGGAATCTGGGGAAGAAAGTGTTGATGCAGCTTCAGAGAGGGCTGTGCATAGAACCAGCAGGAGCAGAGAAAGGACAAGTGCTGCCTATCGGGCAATTAGCTGCCACGCCCCAACTTCGAAGCCACTTAGTAAAGGGTAGAGGAAGAGCTCATCCAGAGCTGAAGGAGGCCCAAATGCCTAACTTAAGAATCTTTTTCGTTATCTCTGGCAGCTCTCTTTTAAAGTCTAATAAAAACTGAAAGTGTAGCCACCAGCTTCCATTCTATCCCTGACCCCAGGCCTGGGCCTGAGCCCAGGCATGTGCCAGGAGGAGGGGTGTTGGCCTTACTGACAAAATCCATTTGGAATTTGTCAAGGTTGTGGTTTGCGGCTTAAATTTGGCACAGAGTGTCTCTGATGAAAGGAGAGGAAAAGCTAGAAAAGAAAGGGAGCCAAAAGGACTACAGAGGACAGAAACGGAAAAACTAAACTGTTCTTGCTAAAACTTCATTGGAGAGTTTCCTTCCCCTTCCAGAATGTGAGAAATTTGTACTTAGGGTGTTCTTTCTTACTATTCTTTCATATCTTTTGGCAATTCTAGCTGCATCACCTCTCCTTTGCCCCCTCTCCCATGTATATGAGGTTCAGTAAGGGTTTGAATTAAGAATGAATGGTATGTCTCCTGACACCACCAAATTTTCAAATCCAGAATTCTCAGTACTCAAATGGAGAGTCCTAATGTAAAATGTTACCATGAAACACTGCCCTAACTCAACACAAATATCCTTGCTATCCTGTTGCTACTCTCATTTCACCTGATTTGGGGATAATTTTGTTAACAGATAAATTTGTCGCCCAGAGAAGTAGAACTATTTCTACATCCATGGCTAAGGTCATGACCTGTTAAGTCAGATCTTGAAGTCCCCCAGGTATGCAATCATTTGTAAAGTTTTAAATCCCTTTTAGCATTGAATCTTGGAAAGATAAGTTTATTTTCAAAGACATTGAGTTAGCAATAGAGAGGTTGAAACAAAAAATTGTTTCTCAGGTTATCTTTTAAAAGATAAATTCATTTACTAAGATCAGTAATATTTTTTAATTAAGATTAGGAAGGATGGGCTGGTGATTTAGTGCAGTGGCACTGTGCCAGCCTCACAAGCACAAGGCCCTGAGTTTGATCCCTGGTACCAAAAAAAAACGGTTTAGGAAAGACAAAACATGGATGCAGATAATTCAGTGGAAGAACATGCTGGTTTTTCTGGTTTCCAGAGGGTGGGAAACACCTCCCATTTTGAGCACAGAAATCCCTTTTAACATGTTTCCCATCAGTCTTGCATCTATCTACCACTCTACGTCCCAAATTCTCTGGTTTGGAGTCAGAAAAGTATCTGCTGTTTTGGGTCCGCATTCAATGCTGAGATACATTTAGGATTTGAAAACCCCAAGAGAAGATGTGACCTCATAATTTTTTGCGTGTGACTTCATAATTTAGAGCAGAGGGTCAACAAGCTACTGACAGAAGACGAATCTAGTTCTGTAGCACATTTTTTTTTTTGGTTCCGGGGATTGAACTCGGGTGCTTGTGCTTGCAACGCAGGCCACCGAACTGTTGAGCTAAATCCCTGGCCCCCTGTAGCACATTTTTAGTAAACTAAGTAGGATGTTTTTGTTGGAAGTGATGATGGATTTTTTTCTTTGTTTGTTTGGTTGGTTTGGTTTGGTTTGGTCCTGGAGTTTGAACCCAGGGCCTTCACACTGAGCTACATCACCAGCACCTTTTTCCCCCCTGGTACGGCGGGGGGGGGATCAAACTCCTGTCCTTGTACTTGCAAAGGAGGCACCTGAACCACTGAGTTAAATTCCCGGCCCCCTCCTGTGCCTTTTTAATTTTTGATTGATTGATGAAGGTAGGGTCTATCAAGTCACTAAATTGCCTAGTTTGGGCTCTAACTGGTGATCCTCCTGACTCAGCCTCCCAGAGTGCTGGGATTACAGGCATGTGCTACTACATCAGGCTGTGAATTACATTTTATTGAACAAAACCATGCTCCTTCATTATGTATGGTCTTTGGTTACTTTTGATCTCTAATAGCAGAATTAAGTAATTATGGCAGAGCTGAGTAGTTAAGACAAAGACCACAATATAGGTAGCCTAATATATACATACTACCTAGCCCTTTACATACACACACAAAATTGCCAACTCTTGCTCTAGTCAATGATCAAGGTGATATCTAGAGTAATTCAGGTGCACTGAGAATAAACAAAGCCTGAATTTGATTTTTGTTTGTGTATTTGTTTTGGTTTGTTTGTTTTTTGTTACCAGGATAAAACTTGGATCCTTGCACTTGCAAGGCAGGTGGTGGCACCACTGAGCTAAATCCCCAGCGCAATTTTTTTTTTTTTTTAAATAGAGTCTTGCTGTGTAGTTTGGGCTGGCCTTGAACTCACTATGTAGCCCAGGCTGGCCTGAACTCCCAGGGGGTGATCCTCTCACCTCAGCCTCCCAAGTGCTGGGATCACAGGTGTGTGCCACTACACCCAGCTAATAGGGCCTACATTTGGATCTCTAACCTCACCTACCTAGAAGAAGTCCCTCCTGGTTTCACAAACTAAAAGTTTGCCAATTAAGTCACTGCAGATCATTTCAAATCCTTGGTGGAACTCAGCAGGGTAAAAATAAATAAAGTCATTGCATATGGGGGACAGTTCACCTGGAAATGAAACTATGGACCAAGATCCCAAGTATGGCTGGGTATAACACCATCTGCATTCCACCAGTCCAGTAACTTAATTTATTTTCATTTCAAGAACAATTCTCAGTACAATAAATTATCCATTTCTTGCTGAAGGAGGAAAAATGGGTCTCTGAGAGTCTCAGGTAAAACCCTTTCTTTGGAAGTTCCCTTTTAACACCTGAATGAAAGGAGACAACTTTCCTAAGGTCCT